GAGTCTGTGCTTCATGGGGACAGAGTCTCTGTGTCTGGGTTTTATGTAACCTGACGTACACGGGTATTATCTCCACGGGTGACGACTAGGACCGAACTATGCACGAGCTACTTCGCGTTCTTTCCCAGCACGAAGCCCTTGACGCCAGCGTGTGCGCTACGCTTCCGGTTCACCTCGGCCCGTGCTGGCCACATTTTGAGTGCTCAACAGCACAAGTGGCCGTGGCCACAGACCGAGGCCGCACAGGCGCACACGGTCCCACCAGCTCGCAGGAAACCCGGGGGCAGAGGCGCGGAGGACGTGGCGCCATGAGGTGTGGAAGGCAAAAACCCAGGCCACGGAGATTCTGTGGGACACACGACCAGGCTTCCTCAGTAAGTAATCTGGTACGGAAAGGGGGAAGGAGGAAAGGACGAGAGGCCAGAAGATAAAAGGGGCTTAAATGATACGGATTGACCTAACTGAAGTCAGTGCGTGCTCCGTTCATCCCAACCCAACAAACGGTTAAGAAGAACAAGTGAGGTAATTGGAAGACGAACCAGTGACTGAGTACGTCGTTAAGAAATTATGACTAAGGCATAGAGAGGACTTAAAATGAATACACAAACTAAAATATAAAAAAAAAAATTATGACTAATCTTTACATTGTGATAACATCATCATAACTGTTTAAAAAAGAGTCACTTTAAAGAAATGAATTGTGGCGCGCCTGGGTGGCTCAGTCGGTTAAGCGTCTGCCTTCAGCTCCGGTCATGATCTCAGGGTCCTGGGATGGAGCCCATGTGGGGCTTCCTGCTCAGAGGGGAGCCTGCTTCTCCCTCTCCCCCAGCCACTCCCCCCCACTTGTGCATGCTCTCTCTCAAATAAATAAAATCTTAAAAAAATAAATAAGAAATGAATTGTAAAGCATGTATGGATGAAATGAATCCATGCTCGAGAGCCACCCAGTAGGACAGGGGCGGTAGCGCTCTTCAGTGAAGGACAATGAACAGAATCCATTGCCAGCAGACACACCCTTACAGGATAAGGGAGAAAGCTCCTCAAACAGGTAGGAAATGATACAGGAAGGAATCTTAGGAGCAACAGAAGAAAAACAGAAAAAGCAGAAAAGTGGGCACATACGACAGATTATCCTCCTTAGGAGTTCTTGAAGTCACAGGTGAGGATGGAAATAAAGATCCGAACCCCATCTGCTACTCCGTGAGTACAAAGGGACATAAGTAAAGATAGGTTTCTGGCAAAAGGGACAACCGGTAAAATCCAAAGAAACCATTAAGAAACCTATACACAGCAATACACTCAAAAGGCCATACACAATCAGGACAGAATCCCAAAATGTGTTTAGGTAACCCACAGGAAAGATGGAAAAAGAGAAACGGAGGAAACAAAAAGAAAACAAATGACAAACTGGCAGACGTAACCTACCAATGATCGCCTAGTGTGAATGGTCTGAACGTGCCGATCAAAATACAAGATGCCGGGGTGGATTAAAAAACAACGCACCCAGTTACATGCCGCTTATAAGAAGCTCACTTCAAATTCAAGTACACAGGTTGAAAGTAAAAGGGAAGAAAAGGATACAGCCTGCAAACATGAACTTGAAGAAGCAAAGCAGGTGTGTCCATACACGCACACACGTTGGAGCCAAGGAAACTGCTAGGGAAATCACAACATGGTGGAAAGGTCTCTCCACCAGGAAGATATAACTGCCCTAAGTGTGTGTGCACCAGACAACCGTGCCCTCCAACTGTGAGGCTAGGAGGAGAGGAGAGGAAGCCACATTCACAGCGAAGATGGGCACCCCAGCACCCCCTCAGCACCTGACGGGGAACCAGACAGATAATCAGCAAGAATCCGAAGAAGGGAGCACCACCAGCTAACATTCTGCCCAACAGAATATACTGGTTTCTCCTCAAGCAACCCCAGAATAGTCACCAACTTAGACGCTACCAGGGGCCACAGAAGAAACAATAATCAAGTCACATTAGAAATCAGTAACAGAAGAACAATGCAGAAGTCTCAAAACACTTGGGAATTAAACACAATACTTCTAAAGAAGCCAGGAGCCAGAGAGGAAGCCTCAAAGGAAATTAAAAAAAGTATATATATATATATACATATATATATAACGGTGAAGAAAAAGAAAAATACAACATAGCAAACTTTCACATGGAGATCAATGAAGGCAGTGCTGAGGACTAAATTTATAGCACTGAGTGCAGGCGTTAGGGAGGGAGATGCCTCAGATGGACAGTCTAAGTTGCTACCTCAAGAAACTAGAAAAAGAACAAAATCAACCCAAAGAAAGGAGAAGGGAGAAAATATAGAAGAGGAGAGCAGAAATCAATGAAATTGAAAACAAGAAAACAAGAGAAAAGCAAGAAAGAACACGTTAACAAGAACATAGCTGCAGCCTGGCCTGAGCCCTGGGACCCTGCCCCTAAATGCCTGTGTGGGTCTCCACCCTGGTGTCCCTGCTCCCACACTGCCCCCTGCAGTCCATTCCCCTCAGCTGCCAGAGCTAAAATTCTTAATTGTAGGTCAAAGCATGTCGCTTCTGTGCCCAAATGCTCCAGTGGCTGCCAGCTCTTAGAGAAAGAACACCAGTTCCAAACCTCTCTGGACCATGCTGCTTAGAGGCTCCCACAGTCTCGATCCCTCCCACCTTCTGTCCCTCCACTTCACCCCACTGGCTTCCTTGCTAGAAATGTACCAGCTACAACCCTGCCCCAGGACCATTGCACTTGCTGTGCCTGCACTCAAGACACTGTTGCCCAAATATTTGTGTATATATGCATGATACACATGATGGAATATTATTTGACCACAAAAAGGCCATCCTGACACCCGCCACAACATGGAGGGACCCCGAGGACACCGGGCTCAGTGAGAGGAGCCAGACACAGAAGGACACATCCTGCAGGACCCCACCCCCAGGAGGTCCCCAGAGGAGTCCTGTCCAGAGACAGAGAGGAGAGGGTGGGAGCCAGGGCTGGGGCAGGGGGTGGGGAGTCTGTGCTTCATGGGGACAGAGTCTCTGTGTGGGGAGATGGAAAGTTCTAGAGACGGAGGGTGGGGGTAATTGCATGACAGTGTGAGTGTGCTTCAAGCCAGAGCTGTGCACTTAGAAATGGTTAAGATGTTAAGTTTTCTGTTATATATATCTTAACACGCGTGCGCGCGCACACACACACACACACACACACACAGGCAGGGTAGAATAGGGCTTAGCAAATACCTACCACACACACATACACACACACACAAATACCTACCACACACACACACACACACACGCAGAGTAGAATAGGGCTTGGCAAATACCTACCTCCTACAATGGGCCAGGCAGTATTTTCGCCTTTGTGGGCCACACAGCCTCTCTCTCTGCTAATCGACTCTGCCCTTGTAACACCAAAGCAGCCACAGATAATCAGTAAAGAGATGGGCATAGCTGTGTGCCAATAAAACTATTTGCCACAACAGGCAGAGGGCCGGATCTGGCCTGTGGACAGCAGTTTGCTGATCCCTGATGTGGAGTACATCCTACATGTGCTTTGCTTCTGTACATGTTTATGCTTGCTTACACACAGAACATCCCCAGAAGGTGACAAGAAGAGAGTGGTCTCCAGAAAGGAGTCCTAGGTGACCAAGGGATAGAGAAGGGAGAATATTCCTTCAGTACTTTCTGGATTTTCACACATTTGAGATTATTACCTATTCACCAAATTCAGAACAACACAAAAAAAGAGAAAAAAGCATCTTGAAATCCCCACTGTCGGGACCTGGGGTTCAGAGACAGTCCGCCAGGTGGAGGGATGTGAGGGACTGAGGGCCTCACCTCTGGAGCCCTGGCTGGACAGCCTCGGGGCCGTGTGCCACTCACCCAAGCCGGACGTTGGCGTACAGCTCCCGCACTGTCCGGGTCTCACGCTTCCGCAGGATCTCTGCATCGTACCAGAAGCCACGTTCCTTGGGATTGTCGGGGTTATAGTTGAGCATAACCTCCTGGCCCACCTCTAGCTCGTGCCACTTGAGAATGTTTCGGGCACGAGCCCGGACGTCACGGGAACTCATCTGGACCACTCCATTCTCCGGGTAGCTGGGAGGAAAACCCCATCCTTATCAGATCCCAGGGTCACACCCAACTTCATTCCCTTGACGGAAGATAGAAGCCGAGGCAGAAAAGGCTGTGCCAACATGGGTTCGGGTTACTTGGTCACCCCGAAGATCTCATCTCCCAGTATGGAAAATACCCAGGCCAAGAAGACACAAATTACAGAAGGTGTTGTGGGTTGAACGGTGTCCCCCAAAAAGACATGTTGGGAGTCCTAATCCTTGGTACCTCACATGGAAACAGGGTCTCTGCAGATGTCATCAAGCTTAGATGAGGTCACACTGCGGGGGGGGGGAACCCTAAATCCAGTGACTGGAGTCCTTAGAAGAGGGAATGAGACAGATGGAGAGCAACACCTGAAGACAGAGCCAAAGAATGGAGGGATGAGGCCACAAGCCAAGGACTGCCAGCCATCACCAGAAGCTGTAAGAGCCAAAGAGGGAGCCTTTAGGGGGAGTGGTGCCCTGCCGGCCCCTTGATTTTGAACCTCTGGCCTCCAGAACAACAAGAGAATAAACTTCTGTTATTACAAGCCACTCGATCCGACGTCCTTTGTTTTTGCAGCCCTGGGGAACAAATATATGGGACATGTGTGGAGGCCAAACCCTGCACTGCGTCCACCGGTCTGTACCGGAAGGTGCTTTTGGATAGGGGTCTACCACCTCATTCCACTTATATAACCTACTGGATATTAGAATACAATAGGAATTCATTATTCCAGATACGCAGGAATATTCTAACAGCCTCAAAAAAGGCATAAAATACTTGGACTGAAAGAAACATTCTCTCAACAACAAAGTTAAACCTCCGCTGAGGAGGAATCCCTAATCTACGTCAACTCCCCATAGGGCTGAGCACTCCCTTTTCCCCAGGAAATCACCAAGAACAAGGGTTGCCGAACTTTTCCTGTAAAGGGTCAGATGCGTTGTGAGCTGGAAGGTCTCTAAATCCTCAACTCTATCACCAAGGAAAATAGCCACAGGTGAAACAGAAACAAATGGGCGACTATGGGCTTTGATAAAGCTTTCTTTACAAATCCAGGTCGAGGGATTTGGCCCCAAGGCTGCAGTTCACAACCCCAACCAGGAGGCTGGGAGTCCTGCGCCAACTGACTCATTCATCCAACTACTCCGATAATTTCCGCAGAGCTAAGCTGAGGAGGTGCCAGAAACTGGCAGGGAAGAGGCCCCTACAGCCCCCAGAATGTGAGCTCTCAGTGGCGAGGCCCGCTTGCCCTCAGTTACGGACTGAGTTGTGTCCCCCAAAATCCCCATGGTAAAGCCCAAACCCCTAATGTGACTACATTTGGAGATGGGACCTCTGGTGAGGTAAATAGGGTTGGACGAGGTCATAGAGGTGGTGCTCTAATCCAATAGGACTGGAGTCCTTACAAGAAGAGGAAGGGACACCAGGGCACTCTCTCTCTCTCAGACTCACAAAAGAAAGACCACGTGAGGGCAGCGAGAAGACAGCCAGTCTGCAAGCCAGGAAGACGGCCCTCAGCAGGAACCCGCCAGCACCATGATCTGGGATTTCCAGCCTCCAGAACCGTGAGATCTAGCCACCTAGCCTGTAGTATCCTGTGGTGGCCACTGAGCCCGTCCAAGACCTCCTCTACACACATAGACAAGGAGTCCCTGTGCCCGGCACACGGTTAAGTGCTAAGTACTTGTGCGTGCCAGTAAGGGACAGACAACAAACTAGAGAGGCTTCATGCAGTGGCGATACATGGTATGAACAGAAGACGACAGGCAACCGGGGTGGGGGGGGCACATTTCCAACTAGATGACCTGAGGAGGGGTTCAGCCTAGCTGTGGGTCCCCATGACGTCAGTCCTCTAGCGGTGGCCTCCTGGGTGGTTAAATCCTAATCATCATCCCCAAGCCTGTGCCAAACTCCAGGTCCCACGGACACAGCCAACACCCCAGCCCACCCAACGACAGTGATACTCACTCGTCGTATTTCACATGATAAATGACGTCTTCTTCCGCCGTCAAGCTAGAGGTGGAGCTGCAGGGCTCGTCCTGAGACGGGGCCTTCCTCGTCACCCTGACAACCTGGGCCTCGAACCACGCTCCCATGTTCGTGTCCCGAGCATCGACATACTCGTTGGCCTGCCAGGAACAAGAAAACATTCTCATCCAACCCAGAGAAGACAAGTCCGACCAGCAGCACGGACCAGAGACTGCTTGGGTTCTCAGGCGCTGGATGCTTCAGGATCGGGACGCAAACCCAAGTGACTGTAATAGGATTTCCTAGCCACTGCACTGCTGACGTCGGGGCCTGGTGATTCTCTTATTCTCCTTCCACTGGGAAGGGCAGAGAGAGATCCCCGCAAAACCCAGACACGACACTTGCCGTCAAGGATCACGAAGGGATGCTGGAGTACTCTGTTTCCACAGAGAAGCCTCGGGAGCCCACCCACTGGCGATGTGCACAGCAAGACCAGGGGGCCCAGCCAAGGGAAGGAGGGCAGCTCGCCTGACCCTGCAGTTGGGCTACTGGAAAGCCAGTGATGATGGAGGGGCACAAGGCAGGCTACCTGGGGCCCTGGGGGTGAAGAGAGCGGCCACGTGGGGAGCACGCTCCACCCCAAACCTTCTGCGAGAGACTCACCTTGTACAGACCCAGCTCTGTCTCGTCCCATGTGTCTTCATCTGCCAAGCTCGCCTTCCCATCTGCCTCCGAGGCCGCCTCACCGCTGTTCGAGGACTTGTCGGACTCACTCTGGCCCAGGCAGCAGCCCGAGTCCGTGTCCGACAGTTCCGAGTCCCTCTCCTTGATGCTGCTGGCGGGGAGCACAAGGCTCTGGCGGACCAGGAGCTGGATGGTGTCATTCAGGCGAACGTCATAGTCAAAGAGAGTGTGGCCGTCCTCCATCTGCAGAGACACCAAGACAAAGGTCACCGGCCCGCCAGCCATTTAGCGCGCGCCTTCTGGGTGACAGGCAGCAGGAACAGGCTGCGAGCAAAGGACCAAATCTGCCCTCGTGGAGGACAGAATCTAGATCACAGCAGATCTAGATCAATACTGCCGGGGGCGGGGTACACACGGTCACCCCCATCCTTCAGGCCTAGAGCCTCTCGAATGAGGATTCCCTGCGTCATACGAAGAATGTCCCGTGAGCACCCAGCATGACCAGCCGTGCTGGGTACACCCATCACATGTCAGGGGAGCGTTTCTTAATATTCGCTCTTTTGTCACTTTTATTACAATAACAATACACCGCCTTTATCACTGGTGCCAACCTGAGGACAAGCCTGCCCTCCAGGGAACACTGGGTGATCTGGCTCAAAACGTCTGCAGTGTCAAGGGAGAGAAACTTTGCATTAATTATTTACAGAAAAAAAATTAAGTCCAGTCCCTGCTCACACCAGACACCAGAATCAATCCCCAACGGGTCAGACGGTGTAAACCAGAGTGACCCCAAAGTGGGAGAGTCACCCCTCCCCCCCAATCAGTGTGTATATTCCAACGTGTGCAACATCCCAGAACCTCAGCGGGTCAGATGGTTACAGAACACAGACTCCTGGGGCGGGGAGGGGGGTGATCAGTGGAATCCCCTGACCCAGGGGGTCTCACCCAGGGTGATCCTGCCCCGCCTCTCCCAGGGACGCTTGACAACACCTGGGTCATTCTGGTTGTCACGACTGGGGTGGGGCCAGGGATGCTCCCCACCCTCCCACGGTGCCCGGGACACGCTCACATCAGGGAACAATCCAGCCCCGATGTTCATGGTGCCGAGGAGAGACCCTAGCCGCTATGAACCAAAGGAGACACAGACCCAACATTCGCTGGTTTCCTTCCAGCTCTGGCTCCAGCTCCGCCCCTCTACGAATGCCTTTCTCTGAATCCCAGGCACACACGAGTCACTGACGGGATCCTGTGTGCTGACACAGCTCAGGTCTGCCACCCTGGCCGTGGCCTGGCAAGGGTGTGCGAAGGAATTATGTCATCTGAGCCGCATCCCGGTGGCACAAAAGGCCGAGGACTTATCTTTTACTATAAACTGTCCCATGGCACCCAACAAGGACCCTCAAGTGCATCTTGTTCTCTCCCGATGTCCCTAAGGCGGGTCTCCGCCCTCAGCACTGGGGGCATACAGGACCGGGCTGTTCTCCAGGGGGCCATCCTGGGCACTGTGGGGACGCAGCATCCCTGACCCCACACACTCGATGACAGGAGCACTCCCGGTCATGAGGACCAGAGATGTCCCCCAGACACTGCCAGTGTCCCCTGAGGGCAGCACTACCCGGTTCAGAAGCAGCTTCCTAAAGAAAAAGAAGAGAAAGGGAAACAAAGACACGAATAATCAACTTTCCTTCCTTCCCAATGTTTACCAGAAGTTGCTGGTTCGAAGGCCTGGATGCCGTCAATATGCAAGCAGCCCCTGAGGTCACAGGGAAGCGAGCTCCAGGGTCCAAAGCCCTTCACTGCGGTGGCTGCTAGAGTTTATTCAGCATAAACCTGGGCATTGGATGAATGGTCGCCCCACTCCCCGAGAAAAAGGCATCTGAACACACCAACACTTGCCTACAGCCACGGGGTTTCCAGGGCCCGCTCCACGGCTTTGCCCGCGGTGAGGGGGGAGCCTCCGATGTGCCCAGCCCTGCCCACGGACCACGGGGAGGCCAGGGTGGGGGGAGACTCGATGCCAGCCCCCCCCCCACAGGGCCAACACAGGGCAGCGGTGACAATGGGTAGAGGGGACACAGATGCGAAGGAAGAGACAAGTCAACCTGCACACGCATGTTCACAGCAGGACTCACAACAGCCTAAGGGTGGAAACAACCCAGCGTCCATCGACGGGGGGACACATACACACGTGTGCCCCACACACGGGGGCGTCCCTCGGCACGAACAGCAGAGGCGCCCACACGCGCTGCCCCGGGGATGGACCCCGAGCCCACGACGCTCAGGGAGGGAACCGGACACAGAAGGCCACATGGGGTGTGAGTCCACGTGGGTGACACGTCCAGAACAGGCTCATCCACGGGCAAAGCAGGTGACTGGTTGTCCAGGGCTGAGAAGGGGATACTAAAAAGTACGTAGGTGGAGAAAATGTATTAGCATTGCCTACGGTGACGACTGCACCCCTCTGAAGACACTGGAAACCACCGAATTACACACTGGAAGGCGGTGAATCGCATGGCATGTGAATTACATCTCAATAAAGCGTTTTGTTGTTTTTTTTTTTTTTTTTTCAAAAAGGAAAAAAAGGAGTCCACGAAAGGTGCATACCATATGATGCCAGCTCTGTGACATTCTGGAAAAGACCAAACTGTGGAGACAGCAGAAGGATCAGCGGGGGCGGGCCAGGGGCTGGGGGAGGAGGTGTGACTGACAAGGTGGGGCACAGAGGACCTTGGCTTCAGGGCCGGGAGGCTCCTCCCTCTGTCCAAACCCACAGGATGCACAACATCAGGAATGAACTCTAATGTCAACTATGGGTCAACGTGGGTTCATTGAATGTAACAGACGTGCCACTCGGGTGCGGATGCTGGTAGCTGGGAGGACTGGGCGTGTGGGAGGCAGGATATAGGAGGGATCACTGAACCTCCCTCTTGATACTGTTAAGCACCTAAGACTCAGAAACAAATACGTAAATATAAATAAGCCTATAAACACATAAGTTCACGATAAATGTTAATTTTTTTTTTTTTAAGATTTTATTTATTTATTTGAGAGAGAGAATGAGATAGAGAGCATGAGAGGGGGGAGGGTCAGAGAGAGAGGCAGACTCCCTGCCGAGCAGGGAGCCCGACGTGGGACTCGATCCCGGGACTCCAGGATCATGACCCGAGCCGAAGGCAGTCGCTTAACCAACTGAGCCACCCAGGCGCCTGATAAATATGTTAATTTAAAAAGATGAAGAAACACAAGCATCCCCAGTATAACTGGGACAAGGAAACCAGCAGAAGGCAGGCCAAATGGCCTTAGAAATGAACAAGACACATGTACCCTGGGGCCCAGCACCTCGTGAGGCAGACATCCCCTCGGCACTGCGGACATCGGGCCCAATCGCTCTGTGGGGGGCCGTCCTGGGCACTCTGGGGGGCTGAGCAGCATCCCTGAGCCCCGCCCACTCCATGCCAGGAGCACCCCCAGATGTGACAGCCACAGACGTCCCCAGACACCGCCAAGCATCCCCAGAGGAGCAGCATCACCCCCAGGGAGAACCACTGAGCTAGAGAGACCCTCACGTGTGTGCCCAAGAGACACGTACAGGGACCTCACAGGGCGTTCACAGCAGCCTTATCTGTGGGGAAAAGCGTGGCCTCGTCACACAGCTGCACGTGACAGGGAAATGCGGCAAAGCAGACACGACTCCCGCATGTATCAAGGGAAACAAAGACAAATCAGGGGACGGGAAATAAAGCATAAACCAAGGCACCTGGACAACGGAGAGGCAGGGGGAAAGCTGGAACCAGGAGCATGACCGGGCCCCTCACATCCACGACGGGTCAGGAAGCCAGGCTCCATCAGCTTACGGATTGGCTCAGGCACAGGCTCCGTGCAGGAAGCCAACGGGCCTACTGAGGCAAGAACGCAGACAGAGGCACAAACGGGGCAGGGAAGGGGGCATTCAGGCTGGGGGAGGCTGGCACAGGGCTCTGCCTCCCGGTACAAGCTTGTCTGGCTGCTTCCTGCGGCCATTTCTAGAACTTTCCAGAAGGGCCCTTGCAGTCAACAAGAAGGCTACACAACTGTTTTGCTACAGGAGAGGGTGTGTGCTGTGTGCCCCTATCCCTCCACCCTGCCTGCCCAAAGCTGTGCACAAACGTTTGGGAACCACGGTGGGGGAGAGAGGCCGGGCCCAGGCCTGCCTCACGCCAACGTGTTCTACATTCAGATTCATTATCAGTATCTGAAAGTTCTCGAGCACCTGGCCAGCTCAGTTGGAGGAGCACGCAACTCTTGATCTCGGGGTTGTTGGGTGTAGAGATTACTTAAAGTCTTTAAAAAAAAAAAAAATCCAAAAATTCCAACCAAGAATAACGGTATTAATAAAAGCTACAAACACTGCACAACAGATGATCTGCACCTCACATTAGAGGTCCTGATGTTAAAATTAAACCTAAAGTTGACAACTCGTAGAAGCAAACTTTGCACTGAAAATCCCTCAAACCGCCTGTAATAGGACACATATGTATGATTTGGGGCACGTAACCCTATACAGCAGATTCAGGTCGAAAGACAAAACTGCCCACAGTGTTTATGTCTTCCTCTCTGTTTTAATCCAAGTATGCTTTCTGGACATTTCTGGACGTTTGGAATTTTTGGCCACGCGCACCCTGTAAAAGCGAAGTAAACACGTATACAATCTGACAGCTAAGCATGTTGGTTCCTGTTGGAAACTGAGATTAAAGCTTGCCATGTCTACCGTTTGTGTCCACTCTCTGCCCCCTCGTAACATTTTCCAGGGATACTTTACAGGGTGCCGGGTGCTGCCCAGAGGCAGGAAACACACGTCCCTGAGTTTGGCAAGTGGTGGTTCTTGGGTCGGCTCTATGTAGCCGTTTCGGCAAGAGGTGGAGGGGACAGTGAGCCTCATACCAAGTAGGACTTACAGCTAGAGGAGGAAAGGGAGCATTGACGAGGGCCTGTTGGGCTGAGCTGGGAGGCTGAGAGGGAGGAAGCAGGAAACGGCTCCGCCCCCCTTCCTGGGGCTGTAGTCCCGGCCCCCCACCTGTCCTGCTCAGCCTCCAGGCTCGGCAGCAACCCAACATGCAGACAAGACAGAAGGACAGCGATGTGAGAGAAGAAAACTGCACGAAGCAGGAGCCCAGATGCGGCAGAGGGAACACAACGTCCCACCTTGGGGGGAGCGAGTGGAGTGGACGGCACTTCAAAGCCACGTGTGACCCCTCCACATCAACAAGAGCTCTTTGGGGTCTTCAACTGGTTGTGGAGGGGGGAAAGGAGTCCTGAGACCAAACACTTTGCACACCCTGCCCCAGAAAAACTCTGCAACACAGTGCCCTAGGGGACCTGTTCTAGTACATTCCACAGCAGTGCTGTTCCTAACAGTAAAACCTGGATCATCAACTAAGGACGCTGGATGGAAGCACGATAGGGCATAACTGGCGAGCTACAGTCAGCCTGAAGGTCTAGTCTGCACCTGTTTTGGTAAATAAAGTTTTATTGGACTGGGACATGCCCGTTCATTTGCATACTGTCTGTGGCTGCTTCCCCCCTCCAATGGCAGGAGTGAACCGTCCTCACAGACACAAATATTTACATGAAGGGTTTTGTTGACGCCTGGCTTAAAGCGCATGCCCTCCAGCTGGGAGCCCTCCCAGGGGAAGGGGACCCTCCCTCACACAGCCTAAGGACAGGACTCTGCTGCCCCGCTCTGCCCTTTGGGAATTCAGGGACCACACTCAGGAAAAGCCACTCTGAATTGGTGGGGTGCTAGGACACGAGTGACCCTCACGAGGCCATTCCCAGGGCACCATCTCAGCCTGATCTTTCAGACGGACCTTAACATGGCCTTTGAGGCCAGTGAGCCGATTTCGCTGTTTTCCTAATATCAATTATCTACTAAATTAGTACCTCTCAACTGGGGGCAATTCCAGACAACGAGCCAGCCTCGCATGTCAGCAAGGCCGACAGGGAGAAACCCGGAGCTGATTCACGGTGCCTTTACCGCGAGCTGGCTGGGCCCAGCCCCTCACTGGCCACGCTGGCGAGAGCTGCGCGGAGCTCGGGCCGCGGCCACCTGGGCAGGGGACCTGGGGAAGATTACGTAAAGGGCAGAGCCCGGCACCTGAGCGTGCTGGAGTCCCCACAAATGACAGCTATTGTTATTTTTATGGGCAGCCAAGAAAAAGGCGCCAGATGCCTCTTGCCCTTGCCCAGGCTGGGCCTGCGGCCTGGGTCCCTGCCCCCATTGGCTTCTTGCACTTCCGCCAATCAAACGACATAACCGCCAACCTCTTCAGCCCAAACAAGCCGGCCACGAAACCCTCCCATATCCTGAAGAAAGGCTCAACTATGTTCTGCTTTATCTTCTCAATCAACCTCACTGCAGACCTTGGGCTGCGACGACATGTTTCTTTAAAAGGGAGGAAGAAAAAAAAGGGGGAAAAGGATTGCGGAGACGCTCTAGAACATTCTGTAAAAACCGCTCTTGCCCCGCCCACTGAAAACTAGGCTGCTTTCTATTGCTGTTAGCCTAGCCTGTTTGCAGACTCGACTCACTGGCTCACTGGGAGGTACCGCCGTATGCCTTGTCTGTCCGTGTCCCGTCCGCCCCACCCTCGCCGTCCCCAAGGCCAGGGCCTTGCCAGCATCCCCGGGAAGTTGCATCACGCTCTAGGCCTGGCTTCCTCGGCCGGAAGACAGAGACGACTGCACGTTCCCTCACGAAGCTGCCAAGCGGGGACAGAGCGCCAGGCAGGGGATCGGGCGACAGTCACAGAGATCATGGGGGAAGCAGGAAGCCTGTGCTAAATGTGAAAGCCGTGTTGTGAGCAAGCAGCGCCAAGAGCTCCGACTCTCATCGCTGATGGCCCGCCAATTAAAGGTACACCCTGCGTGTCTCCCGCCCCCAGGTGTTCCTGGTATCACCAGGCTTTATAACTTTCCAAGGGGGTGTAAGCGCTTTTGTATAGGTCGGATTTCGTGTTACAAATGAAGGGAGATGGGCGTTTGGTTACGTGGGTGTAGGCATTTGTCCAGACTCCAAATGGTCCGCCTGACGTGTGCGTTATCTCGCTATATATGTGTGTTACCTAAGAAAAATGAGACCCACAAACCCGTACTGGACCCTAGTTAATGGCAGGCACGCTGAAGCGCTCAGGGTTGGCGTGAACCTGTGTCTGCAACTTACTTTGAAACGCACTCCAAAAACTACAACGGACTGGTGGGCAGACAGGAGAACAGAGAAAGCCGTGCTAACTGGAATGTGGCCGAGTGTCAGGGGCAAGCTCTAAGGGTAGGTGCTTGGGGGTTCGTGGCTCTTGCAACTTTTCTGCCGGATGGAAACGTGACAACAGTGCCTGGCACGAGGCAGGCGCTCCCAGATCCTCCCACTTTAGAGGACTCGATCCGACCCACCTCTGAAACACACCATGAACTGCTTAGCAGGCACACTCGAGGGTTCTAAGAAACTCTGTGAAAGGACCTGCTGCTGAACAAAGAGATCGAGTGGCTAATCGAAGTCAGTCTGGATGCCACAAAAGATGAGCCGTTGGAGGCGGCGGGAGAGAGCACCTCGGCAGAGCTTACTCACAGCCCTGCCTTTGCTCACCGTGCGGGCGAACGAGTCCGCGGGACCGGCTTCCCCTCCCCAGGCAGGGCGGGTTAACTCAGCTTCTAAAGACGTTCGAGTCATCCTGTCTCTCCCAGGAAGGAGGTGAAAGGTCCCCAAGGGCACCACGAACCCAAGAAGTTAATCATCAGGTCTCATTTCGAGTTAAGCAAACTGGATCCTCCCAGCCCCCAAAAATCCTGGCCGGGCGCAGAGTGTTTATTTCTCAATGGAGACAGCAGATGGCGGCAGTACCCAGTTCAAAACACAACAACAACAAAGTCAGGCACACGCAGCCCAACTGAAGACTTTTAATCCAGGACACCGTCCCTAAGCCACCGCTGTCCCTACCGTGCACCCCACTCCACGACGGCCCCCGCAGACGGGACCGACACTTTGTGCCGTGCCATCTTATCTCACCAGGGGAAATCCCACAGTAGGATGCTCCGTTCCCCCCCCCACCAAAGACACAGACAAAAAACGGAAACCCCCCCACTACCCCTGGAGAAAGTGTCCCAAATGTGGGCAGCTGAGAAAGCAAGGGTGGCCATTTTAAACACTACCAGGGGCCGGGGAGAGAGCAAGAAGAGAGGACACAGAAAAGCGGGGCCCGCAGACCCCGAGGAAAGCACAAGCTCCTGGCAGAAATTCCTGCCCAGCAAGCGCCATCTCCGGCCTCTGAACAAGCTGATCCAAATTTCTCGAAAACAGACCCTGTGGAGTCAAACTCTAAATAGGTGCAGGCTGTGGGGCCATCAGTGTGTGTTTCAAAGAAAAACCTGGTCCCTTCCGTCCTACTGTCTGAGAATGGATTCTAAGCTCTTCCTCGAAATTCATCAGTCCTCCATTGGCCACCTCCAACTTCCTTTTCTAGAAATTATATTGAGAGAACCTTCAAAAAAAACAGGGGAGGCAGACTTAAAAGCCCAAAAGCGACGGACTGGAGTGCCAGCTTCCTGCCCGGTATGTCGATCTGCAAGTGGAGCCTTTGTTCCTGGCTCAGGCATTTGAGGTTTCTGTGGAGACGTGAAGCGGGACCGGACGAGGGGCGGGGAGAGTATATGTACGATGCCTGGACCAGGCAAGAACAAAGGTGCTGGGCGGGCGGCAGCCGGCAGGGCGGGTTTACCTGCTTGCCCCTGTAGAAAAGCCTCTGCAGGCCTGGCTCCACGTGGAACAGCTCCTGGATCTTCCTCCTCAGCTCCTCCACCTTGGTCAGCCTGGACAGTGAGTCCACAGTGTGGGCCACCTTCCCGTCCATGGTGCGAACCTGGATCCACATGGTATCTGCTGGTGCTGAAGGCGAGAGAGCGGGACCCCTGGGTCAGTGGCACGTGCTGCTGCCGAGACCACACCGTGCCATGCTCAGGTCATCTTGGCTTTTGTCCAGTCTGTGGACACTAGGAAACTCCCAGGACGCCCTCCCAGCGCGCTGGTCCGCGGAAGAACCACAGCTGACCAGGGCCCCGCGGAGTAAATGAAATTAACGCATTAATGACCAGCAACGGCGCAGGAACGAGGAGGGAGGGGAAGGCAAACGGCATCTCGGACCACTCAGTCCAACCCACTCCGTCTTTCACGGCGGGGGCGTGGGGGGGGGGGGGAGACACACAAGATCCAGAGAAGTAAGGAGGACACAGCCAAATAGCGAGGAACCAGGTTTCTTCATTCGTTCATTGATTCATTGATTCATTCATTCATTCATTCATTCATCCATTCCTTGGATTAATACTGACGCAAGACGAAAACCCAAAAGTCCAGCGCGGGTTGGAACTTCAGAAGTCCCAGTAACTCAACTAAGTGTGACCGAAGGGGAAGGACCACCCCCCCCGACCCTGGAGCCCCCAACCCTGGGTGCCCGCGGCCCCCGCCGCCCCCGCGCGCGTGCGCGACACTGCCGGCCCCCGCGGTGGCCATGGCAACCGGCCGCCCCGTCCCGGCCACCCCCGCGCGCGCCGCGCTTCTCACCTCGGCCCGGCGGCGGCCTCACGCGCAGGCTCGCGTTCCCGGGACCCCGACCCACGAGCCCAGAGTCCCTCTTATTCTCCCGCCCGCTCGCTCGGGCCACGCCAACTAGCCCACGCCCACCCCCACCGCCGGGACAGGCTGAGGGGCCCCGCGCGCCAAGTCCCGCCCCCTTCACTTGAGCCGACTCGCTCATTGGCTCCGCCGCGCCCGGCTGCCCCGCCCCGCCCGCTCCCCATTGGCCCAGGCGCGCCCGGGGAACTAAGGGCGCGCGAAATCGGGCTCGGGCGCGACAATTGAATCCCGGGGCAGCCCGCGCGCAGGCGCGGAGCCTGACATCCTCCCCTGTGGCTCGCCAGGCCCTCCCCCACCCGGCCGGCGCGACCCCCGCGGGGCTCTGGGTATGTTCCTCTCGCCCCTGCCGGCGCCCGGGCTGCGGGGGACGACTCCCGAGGGCCGGCGGGGCGGGGGCAGAGCCCGAGACGGCGTGGAGAACAGCCACGCTTCGGGGCACGCGTGCGCCGGTACTGGCCGCGCGTCCCCGGGCCGCTCCCGAAAGTTTTGCAAAGTCTCCGCGCCCGGTGCCGCCGGGCCCTTCCCCCGGCCCAGGATGGCACCCCGATCAGTCCGCAGGCTCACCTCTCCGGCCGCCCGATCCACTCTCCTGCCTGCGCGCCTGGCCCGGCTGGGGATGGCGATAGAGACGCGTGCGTGGCCCCGGACCCCGCGCGGACCTGCCTGCGACCCGGAACGCCTGGACGGCCACCACTGCCCGCCGCGCTGCCAGCTGCTCTGATTTTTTTTCCCGCGAAAACTCGGCGTTTGGGAGTTGCGGGGCCGCGGGAGGCCGCGCCAGGGGCGGGCTCCTGCCTGGTGATTGGCCGCCGCAGTGGCGGGAAGCGAGAAAGGGGGTGGGGGGCGCCCCCTCCTCCACCCACCCCCACTCCGCCCAGCGGGCCACGGCCCCGCCCAGCCCTGCGCGGTCTGCTGGGCGCACCCAGTGTGCGACCCGGCCCAGTGGCGGGAGCTGGGTCCCCCCCCGACTCTGCGTGTCCCTCAGGAGCCCTAAGGACCCCCCGGGGCAGGGACCCCGGGTAGAGTCCCCCTGACCTTTTAAGTCCTTTTCCACAGCCCCTCTCCCGGGGCACGGGCATGCGCTGACCAGTAGGGCAAGGAAGGCCGGAATCAATGTTTAAACACTGCAGTAGAATGTGGGGGCCTCTCTCGAGACCGCCTGTACCCCGATGGCCAGCCTGATCGCCCCACGCTCCATTTCCTGGCGTCAGGGCCTGCTAGAGCTCCCCACCCTACCCACCCGCAGGGCTTGTTTGCTGGGTTTTCCCGCCTCGTTTTCCCGCCTTCTCCCGCTGTCCAGGCGGGCAGGACTGCCCTGCCCCCTCCACCCTGCCTGCTCCGCTCTGGCCAGTCTTGGCGGGCACACAGTGACCCATGCTGGGCACCTACAAAGTGCCTGGACACAGTGTTCGGAGCTGGGGGGGCGGCAACAATGGACAAGGCCAACCCTGTTGGTGGTCTCCAGAAGGGTAATTTCTTCTCTGGAGAGACAGGCAAAAAATGAATAAGTAAAGCAAATCATTTCAGATACCACTGCGTGCAATGAAGACAGGACAGTAGCTGGAGAGGCATGTGGGGGTGCGCAGAGAGGACATTCTGGTTGAGGTGGGCCTCTCTGAACGGATGACATTTGAGCTGAGATCTGAGATAGAAACCAAGGACAGATGGGTCGAGGAGGGACGGGCAAGCTCAGAGGCCGGAAAAGGCTTAGAAATGTAGGGGGAGCAGCCAGGAGGCCAGTGTAGCTGGGCAGAGAGGGGACGAGGTCAGAGAGGTGTCATCTAAGGCCTCAAGGGGGCCTTTGGTCTTTATCTCTTGAGAGCAGTGAGCAGCACGGGAAGGCTGTAAGCAGAAGAGTGATGACCTCCAACTTCTGTGTGTACAGCTTTCTCTGGACCCGAGCAGAGTCCCTTCTAGGCACTGGTCCTTCTGCTGTTCTTTCCCCAAGTGGTAGGCAGAAGAATGTCCCCCCTCTCCCAAAGCTAGTCATATCCTAATCCCTGAGCCTGTGAATATGGTAGTTTCCGTGGCAAAAGGGACTTTGCAGATGAGATCAAATTAAAGATCTTCGGGTGGGGGAGAGTATCCTAGATGATCCAGGCTGGTCCAAAATCATCACAAGCGTCCTAACAAGTGAAAGAGGCAAAAGGGCCAAGTCAGAGAAGGAGAAGTGACAAGGGAAGTAGAGGTTGGAATGATGAGACCCAACAGACAAGGAATGTGGGAAACCTATAGAGGCCAGAAAAGGTGAGGGACAGATTCTCTCCTAGAACCCTAGAACACCTTGATTTTAGCTGCTTAAGACCCATTTTGGACTTCTGACCTCCAGAACTGTAGGAGAATAAATTTGTGTTTTTTAAGCCACTAAAATTGTGGGGATTTGTTATAGAAGTCATAGGGAACAGATAGAGTCCAAAATACAAAGTCCAGAATTTGCTGTTAACTTTCTCCAACTTCAGGACTGCGTCTGTGCTACTGAGTGTCTTTCTGGACCCACAGTCATCAGCCGAGTATAGACCACAATCTCAGGGACAGGTATCAGGCAGGCCTCCCTGAGTCTGGGAGGCAGATGAGATCTTTCACATTGAGAATCGGCCACGGGAACCTGGCCTGTTCCTGGTGAGAGCATATCATTTGTTTGCATATACTATTGCAAAAACCCAACAGGACCAAAAGAGGGAATACGTTCTTCAGGTGTATTTGGAGCAGGGCTCAGCCCAGGCCCCTTGGATATCTCAAGTCAAGTAACTCAAAAAGAGGTCTGGTTTTCCCTGCAGAAAGAAATGAGGGCCCCATTTCTCCAGTCATTTTGAGAAAGTTGGAGAGGTTGCCTAGGTTCGTTAACAAACATGAGTGAAAGACTATGCCAGGCCTCTCCAGAAGAAGCTTACAAACCACTCAGGGAGACAAGATGGCAATGTCTACAAAAGACATCACATGAAATAATAAAGCGAGATACAACAAAGACAATGAAGGAGGCCTGCTAGAGTCTGGAGAATGGACACTTCCTGACACCTCTTCTGCTCCAGTGGCCCTCCTGCTTAGGCATCAGCCCATGGGCGAGTTAGGCACCAGGAAACCCATCAGAGGGCGAAAGGCCTCAGTTTCCTTTTTGCAAAATGATACATTCTTGAAGGTCGTTAAGTCACTCAACAAACCTATTGACACCCCTCTTGTCTGAACCAGGCCCGGAGTAAAGCAGACGTTGGTGGGCACAAAGCTTACAGAGACTAAGTCCCACCCTGCAAGGACTTCCCATTCAATGGGGGAGACACAGGTGTAAAGAGAAATGTCAGACGTGTAAGGAGATGGTGTTCGTGTTTAGATGGAGGACACAGTGCTCTAAGCATTCAGTCAGGACACACCAGATTTCATGTCCTGGCCATATCTATAATTTTTTTCTAACGGACTGGTTGGTATAGAGAGAGAGCCATTAAAATGACAATGACTGTGTATGAGCTTAACCAGTGTATGAACCCTGAGAAGCACACATACCACATTTGGGGGCCATCTGTTAGAGCAGAAAAGACCTTGGGGCTCATTCCTCATTCCTCCCCATCTCTAAGTAGAGCTCGTAAGGAGCTCTTCCCACCCAGGCCTCTAACCTCCCGACAGGTGTTCCCTATGGGGCAGGAACGCTAGGGCCTTGCGGTTGGTTTGGCTTATTTATCTGTTATTTCCTAGGAAAAAGGGGTCAGGCTATCATTTCATACACCAGTGAGGACTTTGGAATTCCCAAGCTGTCCCACCCCTGCACAACAGCCTCATCTCCCATCCCGGCCACTAGGGACCCCCTTCCCAGAACGCTGGCTGGATGATGTCACAGACAGGTGACCTCACTGCGGCAAAGGAACCGGAAATCTCAGTGGCATGGGGGGGCAGGGAGAATATTTCTCTACCACCCCAACCCCCCATGTCTGTGGTGAAGTCGATCGAATTAGTGTTGCCCAAGGATGCAGTCTACCTAGCTGGCTCCAGCATAAAAGGGCAGGTGGTTCTAATCCTGAACAGCACCCTGGTGGACCCTATTGTGAAGGTGGAGCTCGTGGGAAGGGGTTATGTGGAGTGGAATGAAGAAATCGGGGCATCCCGTGATTATAGTAGAGATGTTATTTGCAACAACAAGGCCGACTATGTGCACAAGATGAAGACATTCCCAGTAGAGGGTAAGGAAAAAGCCAGCAGCCAACTCCAGCCATAATAGGAACCTGGGTCCGGAAGGTAAACACATCTGCTAGTGGATCAGCAAACCCCCAGGGGTACCAGAAATGGGCAGAGGCCTGGCTGCTCCCCAGGAGGGAAGCTATGTATAACAATGACCATCAGATACACATTAACACGAAAATAATAAGACACGAGGAGCTGATCAGAACCCAGATATTCGAAATGAACTTTCAAAGTTGTTTCCCTGGGGGGGGGGGGGGAATGCTATCCTTAGCCCAATGACCACTTGGGAAGGCCAATTAAAAAAAAATCTGTCTTGTTATTTGACAGATAAATCTCTCTCTGGCAGTGAAATGCCAAGGAGACAAAAGAAGGAGTCCTATGGTCCCAGGGAAAGAGAGAGGAGGTTATTCTAGGGAGAGAATAACCAGGCCCCAACTCCAGCAGGTTCAGATCCACGGTCTGGACAGACGTCAGGGAGGCTGAGCTGCCTGGGAGCCGCATGTCCTTTCCAAAATGTGTTCATGGGAGTGTTCCCAGGTATGCCACAACTCTCGGCCAACGCCTGGCTGAACAAAGTTTAATTTTAGACTTTTAAAATTTTTAGATTGGGAGGTCATGGAGAGGTGTCTTCGAAGAGGGAACTGAGCTCAGATCTGAGTGACGGGAAGGACACCAGCCATGCAGATATCTAGGGGAGGAATGGCAACATACCATCCCTTACTGCTCAGCAGTCCTGTTGCCTCTCTGTGTCCCATTAACCCATCTGGAAAATGGGAACCAGAAAAAGGGATCACTCATAAGATCGCTTTGAGGACTTAGTGACTGAATGGTATATAAAGGGCTTAGAATAGTGTGGGGCATACAGTAAGTGCTCTGTGTTTTTTCAACCCAAACACTTCCCATCCTAACACCCCCAGCATCAGGTACCACCCTTTCCCATTGCCAAGCATTTCCCCTCAAAAGCATAAGCCCAAGCCTCTGACAGATTCATTCATTTATTTCACAAACATTTATTGAGCACCTTCTGCACATGGCACTGGGCCACGGGCTGGGGGTGGGGCAATGGATAAAACAAACAAGGTCCCTGGAGTCACTGGGATTGCCATCCAGTGGGCAAGACACAATAATGAGAGGTTTTTGGACGAATGAAAGAAACAAATAAAATGGGGGAGGTTGCAGAAATGGGGGCCGTGTGAGTTTCTCCCGGGTCCTCAGTTGCCACTCAACCAATGTTAAGCACCTACTGTATGCTGCGCACTGAAGGCCAAGCTCTGTGAGGGCAGGGAGCTGTGCTGGCCCTGTTCACTGCTGAAAATAATGCCTAAAACAGCCTCTGGCCCACAGAAAGAGGCTCAAGAGGGGTTTGTTAAACCAATGTGCTGGACCTCCAGTTTCTCAGACCCAGAGTAGGGGTGAGCACCCCAGCCACCTCACCCACCCAGGCATCTCCCTCCAGCCCAGCTGAGGCCTAGGCCTAATATTTGTGGATCATGCAGATCCCTAAAAGCACAGAACTCAGCCTAGCTCAGGGACAGGTGGGCCAGGCCCAGAACAAAGCTCCTGCCAAAACAACAAATAAAGAAGGGGGGGGGGGGTTAAAAAGGAAAAAGATTCTAGAACCTTCTGATGGCCTCGGTGTGTTTTGCTTTCAGATAATTGGTTAAGTGCAGGCAGCCACACCTTTGACTTCCATTTCAGCTTACCTCCCAGGCTTCCTTCTACCTTCGCCAGCAAAATTGGCCACGTCTTCTACTTCGTGCAAGCCTCCTGCATGGGCCGGGAGCATATTCTGGCGAAGAAGAGAATGTACTTGTTGGTTCAAGGGACTTCGGATTTCCACAAAGAAAACCCATTGCAGGTAGTGATGGGGGAGGGGCTGCGGTGGGGCTTGTCCTGCAAGCTCACCAGAGGCAGGTGGGAGGGCAGGGAACAGAGCCGGCCCCTACCAGGAAGAAGGAAAGGTGCTGATGGCTCCCCCGGGGGGTCCAGAGAGTTCCCAAAAGGTGAATCTGAAACCAGGGTAGGAACAAAGCCAGCGGGAGCCCCTCAACCAGGATAATCCTGCCGTCTGGAACATCTACAGTTGACAGGACTGGGGGGGCTGTTGGCCATCGAGGTGGTGGGGGCCAGGGGTGCTGCTCAATACCCCACAGTTCCCAGGACACCCCCCCCAGAGAATGACTGGGCCCCAATGTCCTTGACCCTATAGTAAGTCAAGGCTGTTCAGAGGCCTCCCCTGTGACCTGGGGGTGGGAGGCCTGGACGCCCGGTGACACTCCAGGGTCTTTGAGCCCTTAGACAACAGAGATGGTGCCCCCACCAAAAGAAGCAAGGAAAAGGGGTGGCTTGTGGTCTGGCTGAGCAGAGGAGGAGGTTTTCTGGATGGTTCCTGGAGGCCCAGGTGCAGAGGTAGAAGTCGAGGTGGCTGGAGTGACGTTGGCCCCAAGTCACTCCCCTGGGGACTCTGTTATTAGAGCATGGTGGCTGAGACGGAGGTGGGGGTTGGATTTTAGTTTTCAAGATCCAGGTAAAAATCCCAGAGCCCCCACCTTCCTGTTGTGCGACCCTCTGCAAATGACGTTGCCTCTCTGTGCCTCTATCTCCTCATCTGTGAAATGGACAGAGAGATAGTGCCTAGCTTGCCGAACTTCCCACAGTGCCTGGCACGGGTTGGGGGATGGGCCCCAAGAATCTTGCTGCTTCCACCACCAGTGTCACAGGGATCGTCTCCAGCCCAGCCAACCTCCTGGGATGGTCCTGGAGGGTCCCAGGAAGGGCAGATGCTTGGAGGGGTGGAACAGCCCTGGGATGACCAGACCCGAGCTCAAGGCCCGCTTGACCACCTGCTCCCTGTGTTACCCTGAGCGGACTGTGGCCCTTCTCTGGCCTTCCCTTCAGAGCTAATCTAGAGTGCAGGGGGCACGAGGCAGAAGCTGGGGTGAAATGTTGGGGTTGGGTGAGACCCAGCCTGAGATTTCGTTGACAGATACTTCATTAGCTAGATGGCCTTGGGCAATTCACAACACCTCCCAGAGCCTTGACTGTCCCGATCTGTACAATGAGAAGAATAATACCTCCCTTGATGGGTGCCCATGAAGACCGCGAAGTGCTCAGCGAGGTGTCTGCGCACCCAGGAGGTGCCCCCGTAAGTGGGAAGCTCTAAAAATCAAGGTCGTAGCAGCAACAGGAGTTATTACAGATAAGTTTTGAGGATATGAAAATAGCGTGTTTTTTCAACTACTCAGTACTGCCTTAACCAGACTGGGCAAGGGAGGCCCTTTGGAGGAGGTGACATTTTAGCAGAGAACTGAAAGAGCAGAGGCGGGGAAACCATGGGGATATCTGGGGTGGAGGGTTCCAGATGGAGGGAACAGCCCATGCAAAGGTCCTGGGGCAAGACTGTGCCTGGCGTGTTGGATGAACAGTGAGGGGGCCACATGGCTGCAACAGAGTGAAGGAGGAAGCAAGAGGGAAGAAGGTAAGGGCAGGGAGGTAATAAGAGGCCTCAGGAAGACTTGGACTTTAACCTGATGAAGGTAAGAGCCCTGGTGGGCAAGGGGTCATCATTGGATTCCCTCTGGCTGCTTTGGGGAGGGTAGATAGTGGGGGGCAGGGGGAGGGCAGGAGCTGGGGGACCAGGACAGAGGTTATCACTCTGGTGCAGTGAGCCATGATGGGGCTCAACCAGGTAGAGGCAGAGTCTTTTTTTTTTTTTTTAAAGATTTTT